CCTCGGTAGCTATGGGAGCGCGGGGCGGGGCTGCGGCCGTTGCCTGGCAATGCCGCGCCCGAAGCTCAGCAGGGCCCGCCCCGGTCGCGCCAGGATGGGTGACCCAAGAGCCCCGCACGGGCACCGCCGGGGACGCAGCGGGACAGGCCGGCTGGGAACGCTGAGTTACCTGAGAGAAAACAACACAAGGAACAAATAAAACCGGCCCCACTCCCGCTGGCCCCGGCCGGCTGCCAGCCCACATCCCGCTCCTGCAGCAGCGCCCGGGGAGCCGGTGATCACCCCTCAGTGGCCAATAAAACCCCTCAGGGCTCCCTGCTCTGAAGGCACGGCCTGAACCCGCAGCGCAGCCGCTGACACAGAGAGCAGGTATCCCCCGAGAGCCCCGCTCTGCGCAGGACACGCTGGCAAGCGCTTTTCGGGGAGCAGCAGAGTCAGCAAGAGGGTGCCACGGAGGGCACACCACGCTCCTGCCCAGGGACACCCCAGCTGCTGTCCCTGGGGAGCAGAACAGCGACAGGACCGTGTGCCCCCGGCTCGGGCAGTTTCATGGCCACACAGCGGAGCTGGCAGTGGCACACATCGGACGAGTCGCCCCAGAGTGGAGGGAGGAACCGGGGAGGTCCCATTTGGAGGGCTCACAGGGGCAACACACGGAGGAAAGAATGTGTTTCTTCCCAAAGAGGGGCAGCCCACCAGCCCGCAGTAGGCACGCAAGAGCTGCCAAGAGTCACCTCCAGTCCTCTGAGGAACTGGGGCAGGAACAACAAACATCTGCATCCTCTTTTTGGACTCCAGCCAACACTGAACATGCTCACGACGACCAGAAGCACATTTTGAGCAGTGGTTTATGGCGCTTTCTGTGGCTTGTGAGCAGCACACTCTTGCTACTACCAGCCAAATGTTATTTCAAAAAACCCTGCCCACACCAATGCTACTAAATCCTCCTCGCTGCATGGGTTTGGTGCCTCCATCCTGTGCCCTAAGGAAGGACAGTCCCAGGCCTTCTGGAAAACCACCTTCTTTGCCCAGGAGCAGGCACCTTGGGCACGAGGCTGCTGCTTTCTCTCTGACACGGTTTGAAGCTCAAAGCGGGGCAGCTTGCAAAGCCCCAGAAGGCAGATGACATCTCTCTGGTGCTCCGGCTCTGAGCAGGAAGCAACAAACACATCAGCACTTTTAAGAGGATGTTGTATCATTCGATTGTCACTTAATCACTCAAAACAACAGGCAAGAGATCACCAGGGCTGTACCGGAGGCAGCAGCGAGATGTTACCTGGCAGTCAGCCAGGCTCAGCCTCCCTCGCACGGGTGCAGGACAGAGGGGGCTCTTCTGCCCCCACCACCAGAAAAGAGGGACCATCTCATCCAAGTGACAATATAATTTTGTTTATTTTCCTTTAGCACACTGCTGGTTAAACTGCCAGACAGTAGATTTCAGAACATTCCCTCAACCAAACATCCTGGGAAAATTAAAAAATAAAACTGCTACCATGTACCAAAAATAAAATAACCCACCCCCATGTCCATCTCCCCCAAACTAGTCCCTGCAAAGCCGATGCAATCAGAAATAGTTATCTGTGCTTTTCACCTAGGGCCCAAGCTTGCTGCAAATCAAACTAAAAAGTGTCAATGCAAGTTGTTGTAACACAAAGCAATGGGCAGTAAAATAAAAAATCCTCCTCAAAAACCCTTTGAACTGGTGACAAGTACAGGTGGAGATTTCTCCCCATACTTCAGCCTTTACAGACAACTTAGACCTGCATTGTTAAGTAGTTTGTGATGTGTCTGTAATGCCAGTGGCACAGGTCACATCCACAGCCAGGCACTATGGAGCAGTGGGACCATGTGCCAACGCTGACTGCTGCTGCCCCAAAGGGAACCAAACACCACCACCACCTCTCACAGTCCTGGCTGCTGCCTCCTGGCATGGAGCACAGATCCTGCCTCTGCTCTCACAGGCTCCAGGGCTGCTTTACTAAGCCAGCTGCTTCTCAAGTGGGAAAGCCCTGAAGGCACAAAGCCCCAGAGGAAACCTCAAGAAGTTCAAGCCCCCACTTTCCTGCCAGTTTCCAGCCCCTGCTTTGCTCCAAAACACCAGCTCAGAAACTGCCACAGTGTGACAGAGCAGCCATGGTAGCACAGGAGAGCACAACCCCATTAAGTGTGACTGGGGACAACTCCAGGGCAGAGATCCTGCACTTTCTAGATTCACACTCTTCCCAGCTAAATTGGTTGAAGCTGTACTTTGCCCCTTGCCTTCAAATCTCCATCACACAAACTCTTCAGCAGAAACCTCAGATGCTTGCAAAAGATGATTCACATTTTCTAATCAGCCAGCACAGTTTCTAGGAGGGTGGAAAGCACTTGTTCTGCTGATATTTCTGTTATTTTAAATAAAGCACTTTTTGGGGAAAAAAAATCAAAACCTATCAATAACCTGCAGTAGCATCCCTCCAATCAGACTGGGGACAGCATCGTCACATCCCTCCCCACCCTCATCTTCCCCTCAATCTCCAAAAATAGTATTTAATATACAGCAATAAACTCTGAGCAAGCCAGAGTCCCGGAAGACATGGACCTGCTTTCACCTCTCCCATCCATCCCAGCACCTTTCAATGCTACAATACTCCTGGGTCAAATCCATTTGGATCCAAGGTGAATGCATGTGCCCCAGACCCGCTGGGCAGCACGAAGCAGGGGTGCAGCACAGGAGGCCCATCCGTGTGATCACGTTTTCTGAGCCTTCCCAGCTCCAGCCTGGTGTGTTTGTGCCGTTGAGAATATTTGTGTGAGCCTATTTGGGACCAGCCGGTGGAGACAGACTGGTGGAACCAGGCCGACGTTAAAATAGCATCTTTGAATTGTATTAGGCTTTGGCATTTGTTGTGGAGATGCAGAAGTGCCAGTAGGTAAATTAGCTCAGTGCTGGCCCAGTTCCCATTTCCCTTGGATTCTCAGCAAGGATATTTCCCTCCCCACCATACGTGCAAGAAGCAGACTGATCTCTCCCACATTTGAGCACCAAACAGAGCCTGAAACACTTGGTACTTCGCAGCTGCTCAGAATCTGTCTCACATCAAGGGCTGAAGCTGCTCTCATGGCCCTCTCCCTCCTGCTGTTTTCTGTCAGCAACAGGCTTGTTCAGCCCAGAGTTCCTGTAGCAAGACACCTCCCTGGCCACTGCAATCCCATTTTAACTTAAAGGCCAAGGGACAAGGCCCAGGTCCCTGCTGTGTTGAGACCTAAGCAGCACGGGGCAAGCCCTCAGTGAGTAAATTGGTGCTGCAGGACCCACCAAGCCCCACTCTGCACCCAGAAGCTGTCAGTGCCATACAACTACCAGGACCCAGCATGACTCACTCAGCTCTGAACTGCACAGACGCCCAGGCACCAGACTGTCTGGAAGTTCTCCATCCTGCCTTCAGGAGATTTCTGGGGGAGATCAGACCTGAAGGAGCTCTTCCAGTTCTTCTATCCCCTGCTAGACTTTTCTTCCATTGACTTTAAGGGCTGAAAATAAAGAAACTTGCTCACAGTTCTCTAACTTCAGCTGTGACCTCCAGAGCTGGCATCTGGGGACAGGGAGACAGTCCCCATCTGATCTCAAGGGCAGGGAATGCCTGTCCCTTAAAGAAAAAGAAAAAAACTCAGAAGCTCCTTAAAAAAAAAGAAGCTTCTTCAAATAGACTTTTATTCAAAGCCTGAGACAAAGGCACCAAAAAGAGAAGGGAATTCATTTGGCTTTCTGTTCACTGCCACCTGGGACACTCAAAAGGGTCAGAGATGTGTAGTCACACACACAGAAGACTTCAATAGCCTGGCTTAAAGGAGGGGCTGAAGGACAATTAAAATAAGCTTTGAAACCACTACACTGAGGCTGGATCCAGGCCTGAAACATCACAGACAGTGATTTTCCCTTTATTAAGTGGAAGCTTTAATAAAATTGCCATATCTGCCCTATCTTTTCTTTCCCTGGTCAGGACCAGGTACCTCATTATACCCATGAGTATAGTGTCTGGTTTGCAGACACTAAACAGATGGCCAGGGGAGCTGGAGTACTCCAGCTACAGTATACTCCAGTATTCCCAGCAAGGTGCTGACTGGCTATCCCCCACCATCCTCAGTGCTCCCACATGCTTTGTTTGAAGGCTCCTTCCAAAGCAAACCTGTCAGGAGAGGATGGACCAGCAAGGAAATGCTCACAGGATCTTAACAGGGGCAGGAACCCCCCAGAAACCAGCCTTGTAGTGAGAAAGATGCATAAAACCAGAGTCAAAACAACTAAATTGAAGCCATGAAGGACAAACTATTTCTCCTTCCTATTCTTATTCAAATAAGACAAATTCATTTGAACTGAGCAAATGGAACAAACTAGATCACAGCCTGTACAGCTCTGCCTTGGGGCAGCTGATGGCACCAAATGGGTGCCCTGGCTGCTAGGAGAGGCCAGGATAAACTATCCTAGACTTGTCTCTGACTTCTGCACATCTAAACACACATCCTTTCTCCCATGGTAGGCAAGGTGCTGAGATTACTGGGTGAGCCACAAGAAGTCAAGTGATTCCTTGCTTCAAGGATGCTCAAATAAAATGCACCCTAAAAGGCCTGGAGGAGAGCAGCTCCTTAGAGAGACACATGCTTTCAACCCCAGGTTCTTTGCTTAACAAATCATCACAGTTCATGGTTCTCAAAACTGATAAAGATCTAAATGTCTCTTCTATCCAGTTAGAGCAATCCCAAAAATGCTGCAGGCACTGTCACTGAACAAATCAGAGCTCATATTTTATAATAGATCTGTAAGTATTAGGATTTTGACAGTAGCTAGAAGATGAAGCAGACAACTTTAAGCTTACCACCTTTCATCCTAAGGTTTGTTCTTCAAGATCTGCTCTCTCTAAAGCCTGTATTTTCCTTTAACTGGGGCAGGGACTCTTCCTCCTGTCCCAAACTACCCTTTGTGCAGTTGGAGAGAAGATAATTAAGGTACTGCTTGTTTTTCAGCTCGCAGATATAGAATTAGGGTCAGGCCTGTAGCAGTGATGTGATCAGAAAGGCAAGGTTCAATGGCACTGCTGCAGAGAGCAGCATTTTGTCACCTCCCCCAGCTTCCACGCTGGAGCCCCTGAGCTGACAGCTCCTATCACAGCTTGAGGGTTAAGAGGAAGTGAAGGCTTCAGCTCTCTGAGCCCAGGAGAACAGAAAAGGCTGCTCTTCCAGCTCCCTTGCCAGAAACTCAGTAATTCTGCTGACCCTGCTCAGCTCAAAGAAAGGCTGAGCCACTGCATGGGATCAAACCCAGGAACAACTGCTAGAAAAATGCAGGCTCAGAGAGGCAGAGCAGCATGGAGACCACTGCTCAGTGCCACTGCTCCGGGGAAAGACCCAACACTTCTGAGGACAATGGAGAGAGTGTGAGGTAAAGCACTCTGTGAGCCAAGAGCTCAGCAGCAACAAAGCTGATCTGCAAAAATCCAACCCTGCCTGGGACAGGAGATCCTGCTCCAGAACAGAACATCTCCCTCCTGGTCAACCAGAAATGCTCAACATGTTGGAGGCCAAGATTGTGAGAAGGCAGTTCCTCGGGGCCTGCAGCCCTGGAACAGAAGATGCAGCAGTGGCTCTCCCTCTGCCAGGCAGGCACAGGCTCTGCATTTGGAAACAGAAGCCTCCTGCAGAAATATCCCTGGGGGAAGCAGGTGACCTTGTCTCCAGTGCATTGCTCACTTCCAGATCTCTGGATGGCAACAAACCACCTTGCTCTGCAGGACTGAAATGTTGGACATCTGCCCCTTCACTACAGGGCTTGGATATGCAAAAGGCCAAACTCACTCACTGCAAACACTGACCAGCTCCACTTCTCACAGCCATAGGCAGGGCTGGTCCCTAGAGAGGGACTGACAGACCACAGGGAGCATCCACCAGGTTGCTCTGCTCTGTCCTACAGCACAGGTTGGTTAGAGTCACAGAGAAGGGAGTTCACCATTAGGAAGGTTAAGGAACAAGTCCTGAACCTCTTCTCTAGTTCACCTGATTCTCAGCTTCTTCCAAAGAAGAGGTCACTTGCTAGGAAAGGCAAAACAAGGAACTGGGCTTAAAACAAAACCTTTGAAAATAAAAGGATATTAAAGGAAACAAAAGCCATAATCGATACAGAAAACAAGTGCATCTGATCAGACGCTAACAACGTCAGCCTCTCACAGGCTACAGCAGAATCCCTCTGCGATGGAACAAACATTGCAATTGCCAGACTAGGAAAGTCTCTCCCAACTGGTGCAGCAAATCAGGCCAGATAAATCCCTCTGCTCCTGGCGCAGCTTGCAGTCTTAGGAAGGGATCATCTCCACGGAGGCTGGTCTGGAGCCTTGGTATCTTTAGGCAGGCGAGTACCATACATTGTGTTGCACACATTCAGGGAGATGCTGAGATGTCCTCTGCGGTCACTTGACACCCAACAGCACCACAACATTTCCACGCTCCTGGACAAAATGTGTACCCCGGCCTTGTTTTAAGAACTGCTTTCCTGCTTGAGGAACTGTATTCCACCCAGTAAAGGCAGAGATCCTACAGCACATGGCTTTCTCTCAGTGTGGGACATGGCCCAGGACTGGTAGCATCAGCTTTCAATGGCCCAATACACACCCAGCCAGGACTCAGTTCACTCTTGGATGCCCCAGGGAGAATCAGAGGCTGCACATGGTGCAAAGGGGAAGGCGAGGGCCTTGCTGCTTGCTGGAAGGGGGAAGGTAAGCTCCCTCTTACCTGGACCTGCTATTCATTCCAAATGAATCATCTCTTTTTTTTTTTTTTTTTCCCTTAAATTATGAACAATGTGGAGAAATTGAAAGCAACCATATTTGGTCCAACTCCTTCCCTCCCAGCCCCTGGGCTGATGCACTGTGAGGCTTGCTCTCACAATCGGCAGAGGCAGAAGAGGGTAGGAATGAAGACACCAAAGGCCACCAATATAGGAAACATGAGGCTGCTGTTGTCCGAGGCATAGGGGTTTGGTGTACGTGGGCCTGACTGAACCCGGTTCTTATTTGCCTGTTTTTTGACACTGGAGCCATCATCATAGTCATCTTCATCATCATCTTCCTCTTTTTTCTCCAGACCTGGGTGTGGCTGCAGCTTTGGAACATCTGTTGAACAAGACAAAAGGTTGCAAGCAGGCAGGATGTAAATTGGGAGATCACTCAAGACACTTCATTCTCCCCTCCCGGAACCAACATGAACATCAGCAAGAGCGCACCTGAGACCCCATCAAAACCACAACAACCCAGAAGACAGGAATATCTTCTACCACAGAGGATCATACCACTATTTATTTTCTTTGCAAGGTAAGAGCATCCAAGCATCCAGCCTGTAGAAAAACTACATCCTTCCATGTGTGTGACCATGAATGTGTCACACAGACAAGTTAATACACAAAAGCACACTTAGAGTGCATATTCAGATACTGCAGCTAGTAAGATCTAGTCAAGAACAAGCACCTGCTGCCTGCAGGACCAGCAGATACAGGTGCAAACAGGAATGGGAACAACCCTTTCCATAAACAGTCCTACTCCACATCACTGTACCCCTCAAAGCTAGAGCTGTGAGAGCAGCATGGCCAAGTCCCATGCAAATCCAGCCTTCTGAGCCTGGGGCCTGAGCTGCAGGTGCCACCTGGCCACAAGCAGCACCTGACCATCCCATAGTAAAGTAAATTGATGTTTTGGTCAGACAGGGATCCTAAAACCTCCTAGTTCAGGAGCTAGAGGGGCTTCAATTCCAGCTCACTTACAAAGAGGGTGATGAAAGAACAAGGACCTTTCTAGCATTCCCCAGAGCTATCCAGAGGAACTGGTATCTGGGAAAAAACACTGCCCTGTCCTCAAGCTGAGAAGGCAAAACAAAGCTCCAGGTAAGAAATACTTAAGCATTAGCTAAAATAACTGTAAATTATTTGTCTGCAGGGTTGCTGCTAACATCCAAGGCCAGAGGGTATTTATCTGTAGCTATAAGCTGAGACTGACCAGACATGTTCCCTTCTCCTCTACCCCATATACAGGAAATTCCAAAACAAACTGATGTTTCTCACTCCAAAATGACACAAGCTTTGTGACTTAGAGGAGAATGAGGACAGTACACACCTACTTCACTCTGCAACTGCACTCTGTGGGAACTCAGTGAAAGAGAAACAATTTTGGCAGATGTGGGTCAGCAAGAGCTATGATCTCATAGTCTGAGAAGCAACAGGCTGCTCTCCAAGGGGAAAGAGCCTCCTGGCTCAGAAACTGTGCTTACCTTCCACTGTTCCTTGCAGGATGTATAGGGCACAGATTTTCGGATTGTCATAGTAGCCCTAGAAAAAGCAAAGGCAGCAGTCAGTGCTGCAGCTCTGAGACAAGGAAACGTCTCCCCACCTACCAACGCCTTTACTCCTCCAGCACACAGCTGCACCACATGACTGGGTAAGAAGGGGAAAGGGAAGATCCAGGCTCTGCCTTGAAAAGCTTATTACCTTTACAAACTCAATGTGTAGCTTTCCTGTGAATGTTGAAACTTCTCCCTGGACGCTCAGTTTCCCCTTTTTAATACTCATGGGAATGATCTCATCGTGAGCTGTGCTGTGTCCAACTCTGTCAAAAATGTCCAAGTCTTTCACCACCACGTGGCCATTCAAGCGAACATCAAATACCTTCAGGGTGGAAGAAATGACAGAGGGTCAGAGCAGATTCAGGCACATGACAGTTGAAATGGGAGCAGAACAGGAAAGCTCTCTGCTTTTTATGCACCCAGGTCCAGAAAGCATTGTAACATGTCCCAGCCCACTCCTTTGGGAAGGATTCAGAGCCCAAAAGCAGCCAGGTAAAGACACCAAAACATCAACAATGTTTTCAAATACCCTGAAATCTGTCTTCTTTTAAAACAGCCCTTGCATCTGCTGTTCAGGCCTGAGGACAGCCCAGTTTTATTCATGCTTCTCTTCCACAACATTTCTCCTGTCAAGTCTGAAGACCTGCTCTGACCACCCTGGGGTGGCTGTGACACATCACACCCTAGGGAACAAAGCCATTTCTAACTAACAGCCTGCAGCAGGAAGAGGAAACAAGCTGGTGAAGAACACAGGGTTTGAAAGAGGTAAAATGTTTAACTGCTAACCACATCTGTAAATTCAGAGTGAAAGTCCTCCTCAGGGCTGTAATGACTCAAACTTCAGGCGGTACCTGGGGAATCCCAGCAGAACCACATGAAGGAAGAGGAACCAAAGATGCCTCAGCCCTTCAGTTTAATCTGAGGTTGCTTTTTGCATCCGTTCTGTAAGCTAGCCCCACCAGTTCTGCTCCCTGAAATACTTCTCTGGCAGGAAGGCAGCACAGTGCTTAAGGAGATCAACCCTAAAGAAGCTGATGGAATCAAAGGAAAGCCAGACTAAAACACATACCACTCCTACCCCAATTTATCACAGTGCTTTGAGTTCTGCTTGCTTCTTTTGACTTCTGTACATGAGAGATTTCAAAAGTGGACAAGGAATATTCTTCTCTAAAAAGCAAAAAGCAGTTGAATTTAACTCTGCTTTTGGGATCAATCTGAACCAGCATCAAGTCTTATTACATTTGTAAGCACTGTTTTGAGTCGGCTGTTTAACCCAGATTGCCTCCTTGCTTCAATCCATGCAATACTTCCTCCAGAATAAATATGCTGTCAAGTCAGAAGCAAGTGTTCAAGGAAAAGGAAAAAAAAAATTTTCAAAGCCAGCACAGCCTAAACAGGTTGTAAAACTCTATTGCTAGCTATGTTTAGTTGCACATGTTTGTTTGAATACTTTGTAATTAAGTTTTCAGAAGAGAGCTCTAAAGGTTCAGAGCCTGGGAGAGGTTGAGACCTAAGTTAACAATTAGTGCCTTATTCCTTTTGCTCCAGCATGCAAAGCAACAGAGGCAACCTGAGCACACACAGTCTTGGCCAGGAACTCAGATCAGAGACACACAGGGAGCTATTGCTTACCTTCTGTTGAGACTGTGCAAAATAGACCTCTGCAAACTTCAATACCAGCACATAGTCACCCTCCTCTTTGATGGGAACTTCATAGCCAAAGGTTTCCTCATTGTAACGCTCCGTCTGGTAGAGAATCTGGTCTTCTGCGTTGGACCGCAGGATGGGCAGTTTCATACCATAGTCAGAAGCTGGGTTCAAGCACAGAGGAGTGACAGGAAGGGTTACACTCTGAGGAAGAAATACTTCATATATTCTTGAAGTGCTTAACTCCATAAATGGCATTAGCACTTACAACCCATCAGACCCATCTCCTTGCTCTGACCAGGTGGCAGCACTACCAGAGCAGAAGCACAAGAAGCCAAAGACCCAAAATCCAAGAAATGTAGGAAAACAAGTCTGGAGACCTGCTGCAGTCTAAGACACAGTAATCTCACCTGCACCATTTCAGAAATAAAAGCCTGTTTCAAAAACAAAGCCAAAGGACTTGACCATTGGCTCTTGCTTTAAAAAGTGAAAACACCTAGAATATTTTTACAATATTTTCAAATTTCAAACTTCAACAACTAGAACAGTTAGCATAGGACTGACTCGACTCATTGACACAACAGATTTGAAGTTAGCAGTTGATAGCATCAGTTTTTAGAGACTCGCCCCCCTCAAATGATACCTGGGGAACGGTGGAAGGGTGAAAAGCATGAAGGCATCTTACAAAGCCCTTTTTTCCCACCATAGCCCCACAATACCTGTCAGTATGAAGATGAGATGAAGGAAGCAAAAAAGTGACAAGTGTTTCAAGAGTACCAGCAGCTCCATCAGCTGATGTTCTCAAAGCCACCCAGCTGAAATGGGCGCTATCTGCAGGCATCTAAGAGCCCCTGAGATGGGCCAAAACACCATGTCCAAACAGGACAATAACTGACAAAATAAGAGAAATCACAAAATTTGGCTCTTTTCAGTGTTTCACCACGAGCAGCCTCCAAAACTTTTAACCCCACTTGGTATGTTACTGTATCAGGGTTCCTGTATAAATGCAAACTGATACAATGCTCCAGAGCTGCACATCAAACAATTCCCCAGCCAAGCAGGTGCAGGAGGAAAGACTGTGGACACCATCTGCCCACTGGTACTTCAGACAGAAGTTGATCCAGACGAAGTTCTCTGCTGACACTTACCTCTCCCACCCCCATTTCCATGGGAACAGACACTGCATCAGCCAAGACAAAGCAAGAACTACTAACCCAGCTCACGTTGCCAAAGACAGAGCCAATGCAAACGAGTGAGAGGAAATTAATGCCAGTTCTTAGTCTCCTGTTTCACACAGAGCTGCTCAGGCAATCTTCCACTTCTCTTTACCACTCAAACTTGGGCATAAGGACTGAATTCTCTAACTACCAGAAATACAGAGGGTGAAAAGTTTAACCCATCCTCCCACGCAGGTATTTCTGGCTGGCTACAGATTACAGTGATAGCGAACCAGGGACTCCAGGGAAGTCAGTTCCTATTAAAGGAAAGCCTGCATAGGAAGAAAGTCCTTCAATAGCCAAGAAGGTAACTGGAGAGGAAGACCTGTCACCTGCATGTCAGAGCTCTGTTGACAGAGCTGTGGAAGCAAGATGGATTTTACAGCAGTCTGGGTGCTCACTGGGAGTGAGCAGTACACACCAAGCTGTAACTCAACTTTGTCTGGCACCTGCCTATACTGTAATTGCCATCAGCACAGTCAGTCCTTTAGGGCACAGCAGCTGAACAGAGGCTTGGGAAAAAAAAAAAAAGGTTTTAAATTGCCCAGAGGCAGTACAGCCCAGAATTACTATCCCTAGGTCATTTCCTCCCAGTCAGCCATACATTTCTGCTATAGCCCTTACATGTCTATCAACACAGAAAGGAGCCCAGAGTAAAAGAACAATAGTGCAATAAAAAGCCATTGAGGGAAAGGCAGCTGAGAGCTCAAAGGGGTAAAGTCTCCACTGTGCCTGGCACCACTGGCTGAAGCAGGATTACAGTAACAGCCTGCTGCTCAGAGAAAACACCATGGGCTTTCCACAAAGAAAGTGCATGTCACAATGTGCTTGAAAAAGACCCTTTTTTCTCCTCAACCCAAAAATAAATAGTTCCAAGTCTACAAGGACGTTCAAGTCACGCATGTGAGAGATCTGTGAAGGAAAGCTGACCTACAGACATGAGGGCACCCTGTGTGACTGCAGCAGCAGCTTCCAGGGGTGCGAAAAACTGTATCAGAATTTAAATGTAACCTCCACTGTACCCAGTGGGCCCAAAAGGTTCTCCGTTTGGGATGGCATTCATGCAAGGTAAGCAATAGCAGTTCCAGCTGTATAGCACAAGGAAAATCCTCACCATCCTACATGGAAACAGCAAAGATTAGACTCAAAAATCAACAGAGAGCTCATCTTCTCCACATTCCACCACTCGCTTATAACCGACAGCAGAGCAGCTCAGCACAACTAGTTTTTCAATATATTAGTGAATCTACTATGTTTTGGTACACCAATTGTCAGAAACATGCACAATTCAAACTGTGGTGGTCTTGGAGGAAGAAGGAAAAGGTAACGCAAGTGCAGTTAGTTTTCATCCTGTCCTAAAGAGTAGGCTGAAGATTTTACTGACTTGGTAGTTAGACCAGCCGATGATTTCCCATCTGCCTCTACTTCTGCTCGTGTCCCTGCCCTTGAACACCCAGCCACGACTGAGGCATGGAGCAGAGCAGCCGGCTGCACCTTCCCTGTGCCGGGCCCAGCACCGGGCTCCAGCGAGCAGCCTGTGCTCTTCGCTGTCGGGACCAGAATGCTGCAAGCATCACCCACATCGCGCGCGACCCAGATCCGGCTGCAGAGGGCTGGAAAAGCTTGTTCCCACTGCACCGAGCGCGCTGCGCACTGGGCTGCGAACTGGGGGATCCTGCTGTGGAACACGGGCTCTTCACTGGAAAACGGGAGAGAAAAGGAGACCGTCGGGCGCACGCGGCACGGCTCGACCGCTCCCGCCGCCTTTCCAGCCGAAATCCCACTCCAACCCTCGCGGAGCCACTTCCCCTCCGGCATTACACAACCCCGCAGGCCGAGGACAGGAACACCATCCCGCAGGGCTCATCCCGCCGCCTCTGGAGCCCCGGGCTCGCACCGCCACGGGCACGGTGAATGCGGTTCCAGTCGGGCCCGGCGGGAGGACGAGCGTGGCCGCAGTCCCGCTG